AACAAAAACAAAAAGCTTAAATCCTGTTAGAGACCCCAGAAAATTACAAAAGTAACAGTAATGACTTGTATGAGGCTCTCAGTTCTCTTATTTGTTTTTTTTATCTTTAGTTAGCCCTCCACTTGTGGATTATCTTTGACTCTGTGTTTGCAGCACCTGCTGATCATAATAAAGCTCATCATGGCGGCGCTGATCCCAGACGAGCCGGGCTGGATCCGAAAAAAGAGGGAGCGCATGGAGTACAGGTCCATGAGGGCCCTGAGACAGCAGGTCGGCCCCTTTCCTCAAACATCTCAGCCTCCCGCTCGCTCTCTGTGACACTCCGCCTGTCTTTATTTCCACAAACAGCAGGGAGAAGAGTCCTAACCCCGATTCCAGGTCGGTGTTTTAGGGACACCGGAGGGGAAAATCCTCAATCCTCAAAGGGGAGGAGAAGAGCTTAAGGAGGGCCCCAGACCCCAGTGTTTTTGCTGCCTTCACACGCTGCTTATGTGCACACTCAATGCTATCCAGCTAAAAAAGCAGCTAACAAAATGGCGGAAAAGTGTGTTTCGAATATTGGACAGTGAAAGGAATGTCGTGGCCCAGTTGGTAGCTTTAATGTGACTGATTTGTGTATCATCCACATGTAGAAAGGGACACACAGGACATGGTAGTCATGCGTATCCAGCACCAAAAGGCTGAAAGACTTCTTTTTTTATGCGCTATCACGAGCTGCTTTAAAGTATTCAGATTAATAATTACATAACAATAGCTACCAGCAACATCTGGAACATGTTGCACAAACTCCAAAAGTTTGTTTGCCATTTCCCTGGTTTATTTATGGGAAAACGCTTAAATAGTACAAATCTGTGAGTGGCAAAGCAACCTTTCTGATAGAGGTGCGTGAATTGAAATGGAAGTGGCACTGATTTATTTAAAGGATGGGGATTAATTAGTCCGAGGGGTTTCGGAAGGACAGTAAACAAACGGTAAAAAACAGTTTTCCATGCTCATTTTGTCAGAAAAGAGACAGGATGGAAGACTGTTGGAAAAATGGCTTTAATATCCACACAACAGTATGTTGTTGTTGAAAGAGGGAAGTGGAAGCATGATGGTTTGGGCTGGCTTTGCTGCTTTAGCCCTGGAGGGCTTGTTCGCTTTAGCTATATTTACATGGACACAAGCATAACGTTTGAAAACGTTTTTTTTTATCATTTAAACACGGAAATCTGAGTGTTTTGAAAATATTTCTTTCACATGGGAAGATAATGCATACATTATTAACAATAAGTGAAATTCAGGTAGATATTACACTTACTGCGCATGCTCGTACCGTCCGGCGTACGTTCGATTCAACGTGACGTAAAGACGCATCTTCGCTTCATCGTTGCAGCGAGAGGAAGAAGTGGCGGGAAAACAAAACTGGTTGATATCCGATACATGTAAAATTAACATGTAATTAATAAACATCTCAACGGTAAAAGCAAAAGAAAAACCAAACTGTTCATTAGTGTTGGTTGAGGAAAGCGACAATGCTTGTTTACATCGGAAATCAAACTTTCTTCTTCTACTGTTTCCGGAGAGTCTGACCCTTCTGCGCATGTCAGAACGGTTTCTGTTCAAATATGTCAACGATGTAAACATAAATTCTAATCTAAATAACATTTTCAGGAGACAATGTAAACAGGGCAGTTTTCTTGAAATTGTAACCCCCAATTTAACAAATTTGACAGGTGTTAAAGAGGCAACCAACCTGAGCAAATCAATTAGATAAATAAATTAATGACAAAATACTGCCTGTGTTGAACGGTCCCGGTACAAAGAAATCATATCAGATCACTTTGCAGATCTAATATGAAAATGAATACATTCACTTATTTATTCACTAGTGAGTCACATAAAAGCACACTTCTCTCACTCACTGATGTGCAATTCTGCCCCATTTCCATCAATACATTAGCAATTAACTCACCCTATCTTAGGTCTGTGTGAAAGCTTGATGATTTGAGTGATATTTATGCAGAAATAAAACTTTCAAATCCCATTGTGTGCATTTTTCACTGTCTTTAAATTCAAAGTTTTAATGTTACGGCCTGTTGAATATACCCTTACATGCTTACAAAGAGCATTTTGTAGCTGCAGCATATTTTTCCCTTGATTGGGTGAACAATAAACTAACCTGATAAGTTGAACACTAATGGCCTCCTCTCCCTCGTTGAGCCCTAAAAAAAGTTAATTAAATCTGATTCAGCATCCGAAAAGATTCCTTCTGTTGATAGATTTAGTTCATAAGTAGAAACCACTGGATATTGTATCTCACTGAGCCAAATAAACTTTTCAGTAAAGACGAAGTAGAAAGACGGGCTGAAGTTTGTTCTTGTTCTGTATTAATAATAATGATAATAATAATGATTCATATTCAGAGCCTGAAGCCAACATGTCCCCACTTTCTTCCACATTAACCGAAAACAGAACTGATCTTTTTATATTTGTTTTGTGGTAAAGTGTTAAGCACGTGCACAGCCACCAGGTGGCGCCACGTGCCCACACCTGTGATGGTTGAGATGGATGCTGAGACCAAAAACATTCATGAGATGTCCTCAAGTGGCTGCAGCTGTTTGAGTGATGTGCAAATGAAGAGAAGCACGTGGATATCCGGATTCATGGAACAGTATTTTAGAAAACTGGCTACCATTTAAGTCAGATTGATCATTTCTATGATTAAAGTTAAGTTAAAAAAATGTTTTAGCTTGAAATATGTTTACCTTATCTTAAAGTGTTAGATAAAAGAAATTTACACATTTTTGATAAATATTTTGTATCTATGTTTATATATTAGAAAGTTACTTTAAATTCAAATTAAACACACACGCATAGTAATTATAATAATAAAAATATAACATAAACCCAAACTACTAAGTATATATTTACACACTTTTCTTTGGTGTAATTAAGCTTTATCAAAATGATATTCCCGAGTATCTGTGAAATAAAGCCATTGAACGCACCCATTGTGTTTGCTTAATCCATTTTAATAAATAAATACAGAAAAATAAGTTCATGGCTCATAGAGACGCGGTCCTGGTTAAAATGCAGGTCAGCAGACGCAGAAGGAGAGAGACGGGCCGCAGCCGCACGGGAACAAATCATATTTATTTTTATCCCCTCCTTCTCTTTTGTCGCACAGGTCTTAAGCCTCCACGGCTGATGAGTCATAATCAGGGGAGGACGTCCTGTCCTGTGCAGCTCTGCCCTCCTCTCTTTCTGCTCTGGGAGGGGGAACGACACACCAAACGGAGCCACCACGTGGTCAGATAATACTACGTAAAAACCGAGTCCTCGGCTACACAATAAACGAGTCATCGTGAGTCTGAATCTAGCCCGCGAGTCCCCGGATACTGCGAGTAGAAAGCTACCAGATACAGTCGTCACACTGTGTGCAATTCATCATTCGGGTGGGTTACCTCAAGGTGCTTATAAATACACAAGAACAATGGATGTCCCGTCAGTTTTTCCAAGACACAAGGAGGTATATGTGGTGATAAACAACAGGAACAACATGCAGAGTCGCACATCTCCTCAGAGAATCAATATCTTTGTCACGTTATATATATATATATATATAAAAAAAGAAAAATAAGGAGCTTTGTATAATCACATCCAAGATAAAAACGTTCTGATCGGATATTAAATGTGATCAAAAAAACAAAAAGATTGGGAGACCTGCATCCCAACTCATGACCCCCATGATAGATTCACACGGTTTGTTAGAGCAAGCCGGCCTATTTCTACGATTCAGCACGGAGAGAGAGAGCAGCGCCGGGCGCCGGCCATCGGTCAGAGGGGGAATATACAGTGTTAGCGAATCATAACAGTCTGTCCTCATACAAGCTAATGCTAGGAACTGCCAAACCGGGGGGAGAAGCAGGCTGTGCAAAGGGAAAAGGAAGCAGAAGCTGGTCCAGAGAGATGCAGCCCTCAACCTGCTGCTTCTTCTTCTTGTTTTTTATTTATTTATATTTTTTTAACTCAACATTCCTCAGGCGAAGCCACAAAGCTGATGATCTTAAATTAGTCCAATTCCAACATTTTTCAACCTTATTCCCACGTGTATTTGAGCGTAAAACGGCAAGTGGAAGAGTCTGGAAGAGGTTTACTGATCCGGAGGAGTTAACAGAGCATCCTGTCAACATTTTGATCAGGATGAAAAATGGACAGCTGCAATTTCCACACAAAGTGGAAGTTTTTTTTTAACTTTTGGGGTGAAAATAAAGGGTGTTTATGCAAAAACGAGCCTCTGAATGGTCGGAGAGGCAATTTATCATCTGGAAAATGGAAAAAAGTGACTTAAAACATTCAAAAGAGGAAATATTTTGAAGGTTTATGTGAAAAATAAAAATTTGCTGAAATGTCAAGTGTTTAATTTGACTTCTTCATAAGACTTTTAAAAGTGAAGAGTTTGCATGTTTAAGTTAGAAAAATCAAATTAAAGTTCGTATCTAATGATGAGGCTCCACAACAGACGCATTAGGTAGTTTTTAGACCCTGCTCAGACAGTGACACATTAGAGAAAACTCGTCCTTTTTCGGCTGTCAGGTGTGAGTGAAACCTCAGTGAGCTAAAACGGGGCAAAGAAACCTCAACAAACTCGAAAAGACTCCACCAAATCCCATTCCAACTCATCTGTGTGGATCTGATAGCCAAAGCTTTACGCTAAATAAAAGTGGTGTTGTTGAAAAATGATTAAATTCTCCTTTTATTCTGTCTAAACGGGCTACGTTAGCTTCATTTCTTTTTCTGTTTTTGTTATTAAGGATGACGTAGACGGTGTAAAATCGACTAACCCTAAACGACACAGCAGTTCTTGTACAGTGTGAGTCCATTTTTTGTCCTCATAGGCACCTTCAGACAAACAGAAAGGGCTTTAGCTTATTCAGAAAGTCTCCTCAGAGTCCCGGTTAGCGTTGGGGTCCGGATTCGGGCCTGTTGCTCCAGAAAAACGAGCGATCGCGGCCTGCTCACAGCACGTGGCAGCAGTTGTACTGCGCCAGCGGCAGGATTTTGGGCTTGTTTGTGGAGGGCAGGTTGAAGGCCAGCGCCTTTTCGCACAGCGGGAACTGGAAGAGTCTCTGGCGCAGCTTGACGCCGTGCTGCTTCCCGCTAGGCTCCGCCCCCTTCGGCTCCTCCCCCCGAGGCTCCTCCCTAGGCTCCGCCCCCCTGCCCGAGGAGGCGGAGCCACAGGAGAGGCAGGAGTCCGACTCTGGGATCGGAGGAGGAGTGGGAGGAGGCTTGTTTTTGTTGGTGTTATTGTTGGGTTCCACCTCCTCATCCTCCTCTTCTTCCTCCGGTTGCCCTGGACAGCAGGACAGACTAATTTCGGGCGGGGGGGAGGCGGGCGCCAAAGGGGGCGGGGCTAGCCGCCCGTCGGCGTGATTGACAGGTTGATCTGAGATCACACGGCGACTGTCTTGGCTCCCCGTTTCGGTTTTGTCCTCCACAAAGTTCCCCAGATCCTCATCCTGATCCTCCACTTCCTGATTGTCTGCTACTTCCTGTTTCTCCTCAGCATCACCTGAACCTCCTTCCACCTCTTCCTCCTCCTCTTCTTCATCCTCCTCCTCCTCTTCCTCCTCGCAGATCTGCTGCAGGGCGGTTAGGCCCCGCCCCCCCGGGGGCTCCTCGGTGGGGGGGGCGGGCCTTATGCTGAGGCTCAGGCTGGGCTGCCAGGGGCCCGGGGAGGCCTGGTGGGGCCCGGGGGGCCTGGAGGCCAGAAGGTCCCCGCACTCGGAGGCCCCCGAGCGGGTGGAGGTGGGGGACAGGGCCCCGGACAGCCAGTAGGGGGGGGGGGCTCCGGGCTGAGCAGGGGGTTGTCCAACCCCTGGAGCCAGCCGTGGGCCTCGATCTGGGCCAGAGAGGCCCGGCGGGCCGGGTCCTTCTGCAGCATCCTGGAGATCAAACTGAGGGACAGGAAAAGGGTCAGAGCTTTAGAGCTCAACTTAAACTTTGGATGAAAGCAAAAGCCAGTCATGTGACCGCTAAAACCTAAACTTTTAATTGTGATGCTTATATTGTTTATTATATGTTGTTTTTTTACGCCTTTGCCTGCCTAGGGACTACGGATGAAAATTAGCTGTGTAGCTACAATCCGGCATATTTACATTTGTTTTTCCACTGATGTTCATTAATGTGCTTTGTCCCTAATCAAATAAATAAATAAACGGGGGTTTCACCCTTTTCGTGTGTTAGGATTTGGCTAAAAATACTCACTTTAGCATAGCATGCTATCACATGATCTGTGTAGATTACTGATTGTTTTATTTCTTTTACAGTGGGGGAAATAAGTATTTGACCCCTTGCTGATTTTGCAGGTTTGCCCACTTACAAAGAATGCTTATTTTTCCTCATCAGATGGTTATCAATTTTTATAAATTCATATGATGTGATTTTCTGGAATTTTCTTTGGGATTCTGTCTTTCACTGTTAGAATGTACATATGATTAAAGTTATAGATCGTTGCATTCTTTGTAAGTGGGCAAACCTGCAAAATCAGCAAGGGGTCAAATACTTATTTCCCCCACTGTATAACTATATTTTGTGTTGAAGTCTCTGGCTGTGTCCACAGATTCTCTTTGTTCTCTATTTTTCTTTATCTCTTTTCTTTCTCTGTTGCATTAGATCCACGTCTTTAAGTCAACACACACACACACCATTTGTTACCACATTCCTGTCATCTGCATGAATTAGGACCTGGCCTGTTCGTGCCCAGAGCTAACTGGCCAATAGGACTTGGTTGTGTCCAGTCCTCCTTTGAGGAGGCGGATCAAGCCCAGGAGATAATGCCCATCACCCAGATCTCAGAGATCCAGAGAGAGGTTTTTGTCTGTGAAGAGCCCAGCGCTGAAATACTTTACCTGTGACCCAATAAATGTCAATTTTTACTCTTGATCGACGTTGGTTTATTTCTCAGGTTTCCAACTAAAGAATCGGGCTAACATCTGCACGTGTAAAAACCTTGAAACTTTCCCCCAGCGCACGCCTTGCGTCATGTGATCGAGTCACATGACCCGGATCAGCTGTCTGCCCATAGGCGGGAAACAACCTTTCAGACTCAGCTGACTTTAAAGAGCAAAAATTAAGAAATTTGGGCAGAGCAGTGTTTATCCACAAGCCTTAAACCGCCTTTAGGGGCTCTAAAGTGGGTTATTCTCAATAGTTTCAAGTCAATATTCAATATTTGCGTGCAGATTTTATGAGATTAGCTGATAATATTATAATGCCGTGGTAATATATCCGCACGTCCTGGTTTTATTCTCCTGTTTATGCTCAGTCTGAGGCTTTCTTTTATTTATTTTTTTTGTCTGCTGAACAAAAAAGGGCCTGCAGCTTCTTTCACCTCCAACGTTTACCGCTCAAAGCCGGCTGCAGGATTAGACTTTTAACCGTCTTCTGCAGGTGAAAATGCAGGAAATGATCGAGTCATCTCAGGAAATAGTGAACCAAATAATGTAAAAATAATTTCAATGTATTCTGTGGACCTTTAAAAAAACACATTTAAACAGCTCTCTGTCTTCACATTAATGGAGCCCCTTTGAATGCCATATTTCACATGAAAAGTGAAGCAATTCCACTGATTTTTCCACTAATTTATGATCATAGGAATAACTTAAAAAAGGCCAAACTATAAGAAAATGGACCGGTAAATGACAAGTAAATGATAATAAATCAATTTATCCATCTATTGTTTCCTTAAATGACCTTTTTGCCTCATTTTCTGTATTCACTGAGTCACTTAAGAGTTTTTTTGTTGTTCCCCAAAAGCAAAATCCAGTTTACTCAACCTCATTTTTAACTATTGCATATAAAAAACAACTTTAAAGCCAAAAAAATCAACACATGATTTAACTGCAGGTCAAATCTGACTGGGAACATTTACAGAGTCCTCATTTCCTGCAGGAGGGGCTCGATTTGTTGATGTTTGCTGAGCTTTTCTGGGAGCTGGGACTCGTGTGTGTGTGTGTGTGTGTGTGTGTGTGTGTGTGTTTTGGTTTGCGGTGTGAAGAGCGAAGGCTCGGCGAGAAAACTGCGTGCACGTGCGAGGCGAGTTTTCACTTTTCCGACGAGAACAAAGGTCAAGGGTTGCGATTTTCAGCTTTCCGGAGGAGACTTTGTGATAATTATCAATTGGGATGATTCCCGGGGAATCAGGAGGTTTTGCTGAGGTCAGCAGATGCTGCAGAAAAGCAGATTTTAGCCGGCTGGGAGTCGGCGCCAGAGATGTATAGTAACAAAGTAGAACTACTTAAGTACCTAAATTCAGTATCTGTACTTTATTGGAGTATATATTTTTTCCCTAGTTTCACTTTTACTCCACTACATATTTTTGATTAATTTAATACTTTTACTTTCACGGGCTGAGTCGTTACTCATTACTGATATGTAAACGTAATGAATCTGGCTCTTCATTGGGCGATTTAAGCAATCAAGAATAGCCTATAAAAAAAAGCCTCCCGAAAGATTGTGAAATCATGGCCTTCAAAAATTCCCCATCTAATCTGAAGAAGCATATCAAGGTAATTTAAAAAATACAATGACATATGAGCTAGTAAATAAGAGCTAGTTCAGTTCTCCCTGTTCACTCAGGACGTAGCAGCTAACGTTAGCTAAAGCTAACCTAGCTGGCTAGCTGTATGCTACATGCTAGCATAAAGGCTCAGCTCAGGATTGTGACACTGGAATAATAAATAATTGCAGATGAAGTGCTGTTGATTGCTAATGCAGATGTAGTTTTCCGTTTTTTGTAAACACCTTTATGGCCTTTCACACGTTTGAAATAATATAAACAATATCTATCACACTTTTGACTGCCTTTTTTAAATATACACAGTACTTTTACTTGTACTTTCAATACTTGAGTGGGATTTTTTTAAATACTTCGACTTGCAATACTTAAGTAAGAAAAAAAATGGAGTACTTCCGTATTTTCACTTAAGTATGGTGTTGAAAGAACACTTCTACTTTTACTCAAGTCACTTTCTTTATATAGTACTTGTACTTCTACTCCAGTACTTTATCCGTCTCTTTACACATGACTCACTCTCTGCAGTCGTGGGAAACGTGCTCGGGGACGGAGTAGCGGCAGTCCAGGATCATCACCAGAGTCTCGCTGTCGTTGGCCTCCTGGAAGGGGGGCACGCCGCACACCAGCATGTACAGGATGACCCCCAGGGACCAGATATCTGCAGCACACAGACACACAACGTCAGAGGGAAACCCAAAATAACCACAATCCCAAATAACGACAATCCCAAATAACAACAATCCCAAATCACGACAATCCCAAATAACGACAATCCCAAATAACAACAATCCCAAATAACGACTATCCCAAATAACGACAATCCCAAATCCCAAATAACAACAATCCCAAATAACAACAATCCCAAAATAACAACAATCCCAAATAACAACAATCCCAAAATAACAACAATCCCAAATAA